GGGGGGGAGTACTTGCGGGGGGCGAGAAGTACAGAAGTACATTCGGGCATAAAACCCTTCGCCGGGAAAAAATTGATCACTCAGAACGTCAAATAGCAAGCAAAAATTGATCACTCAAGTGTACTGAAAGAAGACTGCTCAAGGCTGACCAGCCGATTTTGGAGAGGTGTACAACACTGGTGTTTGAGGAGGAAATCGACAGGCACCCCTTCTAGTGTCCATACTGAAGTGCTGAGCCGGTCGTGGGGTCGCGGGACAGCCCCTGGGCGTTTAGGGCTCAGCTGCGTCAGAAGTACATCAGCACCACGTCTGTACTTTTTGGTGCGTGCGGATTGGCCAACCCCACACACTGCTGACAGGCCCAGGCTAGTCATTTTTTTTGGCGGCGAGGAGCCCAGGGCCAGAAGGGTTAAGAGACTACCTAAATGTGCACACGCACGCTCCTCGAAACGTGCCATTGTTGGACTCAACCCTGAGCATGAGAGCGCCGCGATGTCGATGAGTAGCTCCAGCCTTGGCACCGAGGCGCGTCTTCCCATACTGTATGAGTACTCCTCCTGCCGATCAAACAGGACACTGACGGTGCTGCGCGGGTCCACGCACCAAGACCAGGGTGTTGCGACGCAAGCAGCAGTATAACATGCGACCTACATATCCGTTAGATGATCATCTCTGTGTGCAGCCAACCAGCGTTGACACAGGGTCGACGTTGACCCGGCGTGCTCTTTGTTCGGGTTGGGTCTCCCCTTGCAATACCTAGCTCCCTGCTGGCACGTTGCAAGTTCTCAGCTGTCCGGAGCTCTTGTTCAATTTAGTACCTGACAACAGCAGTAGCAACAACAACAACAACAACAACAACCACAACAACAACGACAAAAAGCTTGTCTAACATTTGTCCGCCTGCTTTCGTGTCGCGGATCTGCATCGGGCAAAACAGGAGAAGGGGAACGCGGCCTTTGCTGCCAAGCGCTACGAGGAGGCCGAAGGCTTGTACTCCCAGGCTATCGCCATGCTCGGGTACGCGGGATGGAAGGCGGGAGGGGGATCAGAAAGCAGGGGGGGGGTGAGGAGATACCGCAGCGGAGACGAGGGTCGCTGGTACTTCTGAATCGTACAAGACCACTGTCGCATACCGACTGCTGTGCGAGTGTATCCTCCTTGACCGCTGTCTTTCACAAGAAGCCAATCACCTCGTGGTATTTGTCTTGTGTTGTTTTTACGTCGTCGTTAACGGTTTTGTTTCTTTGCTAATCACCAATCAGAGAGGAAGCGCCCCACACGCTATTCGGCAACCGGGCAGCGGCGAGGCTAGGCCTGGGGCTGCCGCAGCAAGCGCTGGAAGATGCTGAGGTTTGTTTTCTGAAAGTCATGATACAGAACCGCTTTGAAGGTACTGTTGTGCGCCGGTTTGCTTGCCTCCTGTGAACATGGTGATGCCCTTGTCAGTGATGCGTGAGCCCCCCCCCCCCCCCCCNCCCCCCCCCCCCCCCCCCCCCAAGTGCTATCCGTCAACCCATTCTCGGTCGGTTTCGATTCCGGCTGTGGTAGATGCCAACGCACACAGCGTATAGCTTTGAACGGCAAAGACAGAGGATAAGACCTTCCCTTACATGACTCCATTAAATCGCCTAACGACATGTGCTTCGTGTCCTATAACCCCGTTCTTTTTCATCGAACAACACGTCTTATAATTTCTGTTTCGTGCACATGTGTATCTGTGAACAGGTTTTTTGCCGCGCTCTGGTATCCACAGCAGTGTACCGGGACATGGCGCGCCATCCCTCCCACCAAAGCGGGCGCAATAACATAAGAATAATTCCTTCATCCTCCATCCTCCTACTTCTTGCTCTTCTTGTTGTCGACGCCCCGTTGTGACGCTGCCTTGTAAAGACGGCCATCAAGAAGGACGGGACGTGGCTCAAGGGGTACCACAGAAAGGCTTGCGCTCATCAGGCCATGGGAGAGAGAGGAGTCGCGCTCGAAACGTACCGGCACGCCCTCGACATCGAACCCAAGAACAAGTGAGTATGAGCGTGAATCTCTCCCCCTAGATTTGTGCTATTAATGTATGATAACTTTTCAGACGCCTCACCCTATAGCGACGACGGGTTGGTTGTCTGGGCGACAAAGGGGCCGTTTCGTTGGATTCTATGGCGGGCTTCTTTTCCCCTGGCGGTGTACCCCTTGTAGCGTTACTGTTTCTTTCGTCCATACTTCGCTCTCTCTCTCTCTCTCTCTCTCTCTCTCTCTGTCCCCCCACTCCCTCTCTGCCGCTGTCATTCTCACGATGCCTTTTTCCATTGTGGTGTTGCTGACTACATGCGAGGAAGGTGGCTGCAGGAGCAGGTCCGGCGAGCGAGGGCCGAAGTCGTCAGCGCCAGCAAAGTCGAGCCCGTCGAATCCGTCGACGTGAGCAGCCCCCTCTTGCTTGCTTTTATGACCGTCTGCATGTGGTTGTATTGTTTGGCATGAGCCTTGGGCGCTATTGGTGGTGGGGGTGCTACTGCTGCTGTACCAGCGTCCACGTAGTTGTGAGTTTAGCTGGGGCCTTGCATTTGCGTTGGTGCAGCTCTCATCTGACCTTGTCCAGCCCGATCTTTCCCACGTGTTCATCGTGCTTGCTTTTTCCCATCCGCAGGCGTGGATTGTTGTGTTCGAGTCGATGTCGGACTCAAGGGAGCGACTATCGACGCTGGCACACCTGTGGAACCAATGCGAAACGCCGGATAGGTGAGTGAGAGCACCCCTGTATTTTTCGTATGTTTCCACGCTATCTTTGCTGGGTACCAGTCTGCACTTTCTAAACAATTTTGACACGCCAGCAGGGGTCAAACAGGAGGGAGGCAAGACGCATCTCTCTCTCTCTCTCTCTCTCTCTCTCTCTCTCTCTCTCTCTCT